AATTCTCATCATATGGGATCGTGGCAGATGAAAGTACAAGAGGTGATAAAAAAATATTTTTAGTATGTGTATCACATTGGAATGTAGTAAAAGAGAAACCTACACTTACAATTCTCAGCATGAAGGATCTGGATCGGTGCAATTCAGTTACTGTATCTACATCTGTACTTGAAGCAATTAGATCATTTATCTTGGATCCAAAACATTGTCTATATTGGCTTACTGATAATACTAGTTATATGTAGGGTCCAAGGGTGGTGTTGTTGTAAATTTCAATCAAAGATGTGGAATAAATGCAATTAGAATTCCATGTGGCCTACATGTTGTTCATATTGCAGCAACAACATTTGACAATGCTGTTTTTGGGAAGGTCAGTTCCCCCTCAGGTCTTTCCTTGAACCCACATCCATTCAATGTTATAAACTTTGCATATCACCTTCATAATGGTTACAATGAATCTAATAAAGATAACCCATTAAACATGAAAAATGAAACTATTAGTAAAATGTATAAAGCATTACTGAATTTAGACCTCAAAAAATAACAAAAGCCAATTACAAGCCGTTGGTTATACCAGTTAACTACAGCAAAGCAATACTTGGAACGTTGTGAGCTTCACCTTACATTCACTAATTGGTTCATAGAAAAATTAGAAGGTTCAAGGAATGTGCCTGAGGGATATTTACATAAATGGAAAACATTTTTGGAATTCCTACAAAATGAAAATTTAAATACAGAAATTTTAATAATGGTAAAATTTGGAGAGTGGTTCTATGAAAAAATAATATATTTTTTAATTGGCTCTGATACTAACTCTAGTCACCCTCTACCAAATGGGTATTGTGCACATCAAATGCCTGACATGGTTCAAACTTGGATTAGTGAATTAGAGAATGTTGTGCAGGCACCTGAAGAAGTCTTCATGGATGAATTATTGGCAGCTTGTGATCATTTGAATGAACAGGAATTTCTGGATCTGGCTCAAAGAATGAAAATAGGTATTGAAAAAACTTTGAATGTCTTCAAAAAATGGATGATTACCTGGACTAAATTTCCACTTTGCATATGTAGTCTTGGAGGAGAGCATGGCCCTAAATTTGCACAAGCTGTTCTTCATGTAATACTTTCTCACCCTCTTCCTGATGAACAACCTATAATAGTAAAACAATATATAGAAAGATTAAATGAGAATTTAAAAGATAAAGGTAATTCATTTGGGTTTTGAAGCATTGGAAAAAAATAACTTTAGAGAACAGTTCATTGCATTTTCAAAAGTTAATTATATCCAGTTAAAAGAATTTCCATTGATATATGATTTTGTTAGACATCGTATCTGACCAATAATAGTTCATCAACAACATCTTCAACTTACAGGTCCCACTTCATTTAACCATGTAATTACTGCAGAAAAATTGGCAGTGACCCGAGCAAAAAGAAGAGAGAAAGCTTCTTTGTCTATTGATCCAGTCATTGGTGAAGAAGAAGCAATAAGATTGGCAGAAGAGTTCTTAATACCAAAAAATAGAAGTAACTGATAAATAAATAGAAGTAACTGATAAGTTAATGTAAATTTCTTATTTTATAATTCATATTTTATCAAAAAATTTTCTTATCTTTATCATATATTCCAATAACACATGTAATAACGTTTGTGACAACATGAGAATTTATTTAATATTAATATTAATAAATTTTATAAATTCCAGTGTAACATGTTGAAAAATTTAACCCCTAAAAAAATCCGCACAAATAATTTTTTATATTGATGTAACATATGTTTGATGATCTATAGCCATCAAACACCACAGTCTGGCATCTACCAAAAGAAAAGTATGATGTTGATTGCCTTGTACCTACCTTTAAACATGGTGGAGGTGGTGTAATGGTATGGGGTTGTTT